CGTTTACATGGACAAATTCTTAACCTAAATTTTGAAACACTAGAAGAAAATTTTACTATTATGCACATACATATTGCATCAAATCATCATTCATTCACATCAAACATCATACTATGTATATTAAATACACCAATTTATATTTATAAATTGTATATTTATAAAGAATTTAACACCATACTATGATTAAATAGGTCCAAAGAGAATTCATGATTCAAACTGATATTGTGCTTCAGAATATGCTAGCGAGTAACCAGTGTCATGGTACGGTACTTGAAAATTTTCCTTCGCATTGCATTTCAAATACATCAATTTCAAACTTCACTTTTTAGATAACATACATTCTTGTCTTCATGATAATTACATTGCAAAACATGCTAACTTCACATTATTTCTAACTATAATGTCTATTCTTGCATAAACCTAGCTACTTATTAATTAATTGTAGTATATGGTTGCTAACCATGTATCATGTTTTTTCATAAATCTCCATGTAAATAATTGCATCTGTCATGAATGGTATTATTGCAAAATGAAAAATACAATCTCTAAAATTCAGCTCAATTTTTATGAAAGTTGTTAAGACATAATTATAATTTTCATCTGAAATTAGTTACTTATTGATTTACATGTGGAAAAAAACTAAGTGAAATACAGAATTTTTTGTTGATCTTGTATACGATAATCTAGAATATGAGCAAGAAGGTCAATCCGAAATCAAACTAGTATAAAGAATAACTTTTCAAACATTCTGAATGAAATTTAAGCACGCAGAAAAAAAATTATGAATACAATTTTCATACAAGCATACTCAATACATACTACATGGTAGTTAAGCACATGTAACAAGTTTGAAATTTTTTCCATTTTCATACATTCGTAAGTGAGATTATACTATTCATGGAATTTCGATTGTTACAGTGTCATTTGCATGAAATTGGTTAAATTGAGTTACTTACTTCGTGAGCAAGTAGCTCAATGCATCACTTTATAGAGGGTTCCGATTGATTTCGAAAAGAAAGTAAAATATGCATTTATTACTAAAAATAGAAGATGTAATAATAATCACTCAAAAAACAGAGTTTTGATCAGTTTGGCAAGATCTGCAATGATGCATTAAGCAAAACAGAGAGTAATATTCATGAATTATTAAATTTTCATTTTGTTTCATGCTGATACTAAAATGAATGAAATTTTTTGTTGCAGATTTTCCTACATCACACAGCGAAATTATTTATCTACTGAGTTTCAACTTGATTTAGACCATAACTCACTGCATTCGGAAAGAAACAAAATACACTATTATGAAAATGATCATTTTCTATATGCTCAACTTTTGTAAAAATAGATAATAGAGTATGATAAAAACCCATTACTTTTATGAAATTCAAACATGTGAGAAAGAAACATTTTTCATACATGTCGGGAGATAAACGAGAATAATAAACAATTGTCTCGAAGTTTCTTTTTGATAATGATCTTTTTGGAATAAAAACATGATGATACGTATGAACTCTAGAGTGATACTTATATGTTATAAATAGAAATAGTGGCTATCATATATTTCCTCTTAAGAAAGAAACTACAAAATCAAATGAGATATCGTAATAGATTCTTTAATTTAATATAGTTGGAGAAAGTAACCTTTAGAAGCTAATTCACGAAAAACTATACGAGAAATGCGAATCATTCACTGTATTTGTATTGGGGTAAAGTACAGCAAAAAAAGATTAAACTTCATTCTCTTAATTTAAAACTGCTGGAATACTATCCAAATTTTTTTGATAAAATACAAACTGATTTGTTGACCCTCGGAAGTTAGAGCTTCTCTACTTTAAGACTGAAGAAATATAAGTTTCATCATAGTGAAAGACAATCATGTTAACTCCTTCTCAGCTGACAAGGAAACAAACATTACCAATTTCATAGTGTATACATCAGAATTTGAATTTATGTAATCCTAAATTCTTCTTTTATATTTTTCGGAATAAACATCAATGTCTAAGTTCTTAAAAAAGGAGCAAATATGTGCGTTTTTAAAAACTTGTGCATTTCAAAAATACCATTTTTCTTTTAGATATCTAATATCTGATAAGACAGAAAGAAACAAAAACTTTAAGAGTATTCCCACATTTTGAATAAAACTCAAAATTTCGAGGATATGTACACTGTTAAAGATAACGTGGTATAAGTGAAAGTTGTTTGAAAACTATGTGCCGGAATATTTCTATATATCGAAGTGCAAACATGGATGAAAGAAAATGTGTTATACAATATCTATACAAATATTTTGAATTCCTACAAAGCACTCTTCAATCTTGTAGGTTATGATGAAAAACCCATCATCAAGCCTAATTCATCAAACTATCAATACTCATTAAGCATTAAGCATTAAGCATTTAGTCCCTTACCAAGCTTCAATACATAAACGTTGAATACCTTCAAAGTTACTTTCACTCGAATATGTGACAAGAATAATAGTACAACTCAATACCAACTTAGTGCACCAAAAAGTGAATCCCCTCAAATCAGTCTTCACTCATATAAATGACAAGGAATGTCTCACCAAGTTTCATTCAACAGGCAAATATCACTACAATGCTGGCTTTTATCTCGTAGGTGACAAGGACTTCTTCAGAGTGAACATCTATGGATGAAAAGTTTAAAGCAAGTGAAAGATTGATCGGAGTAGGAGTAATGCGATGGATACAATTGAGAAAACCAATCTTTTGAGGTGAGCGGTTAATGTTGATACGTTTTATAGACAAAGTATTGAGTCTGGAGCGAGGAAAGCACTTCCGTGGTCGATGATGCAGATAGACGCGAATAGATGAGATGCGAATAGATAGAGGAGAATGAAGGCAAACATTATAGGGTTCACTAAATGAAAAATTAGTCGTCCTCCGTGAATCAACGAAAAAGACATGCAGGATATGTAGTGGACACGAGGAGGTCAGTATGGTATGAAGGAAAGGTCAGGCTTTGGAACACCTACCCTCGATTTAAACAAGTCCCAAAATATTCGCACGATGTGAGGATGTCAGCTAAAGAATGCAGAACCGCTCTGAGGAAGGTAAAAGCAGGGGAGCGCTTGAGCAGGAAGTTAAGGAAAGAAAAACGTCTCGTCCTCCTGGTTCGATGCCGACTGTTGCTTCAGGGCAAGAGAGAGACAGCAGACAAAGAGAGGGCGAGAGAGGAGAGAGAGGAAGGGAGGAAAGGTCTCCTTCATTCGCTGGCATCATCGCGTCATATGCGCATGATCTGGTCCATCTCCAGCGCCTGAATTGTCCCTCGGCACACCACCACCCACCGCTCGCGCTCGCTCGCCCGCCCGCCCTCGTTCGCTCCTTCGCCTCCGCCACGCCACCCCATTTCGTGACTCTTCCTTTTGCATTGCCCTAGCGCTGTAGGGCGCCCTTCTCCCCTTCAGCCCTTCAATCGCAGCGGTCCGGGCGGTCGCCGTCCGATGCAGGCCATCGAGGGCGCAGCTCGGAGGTTGCCGGCAGAGAGGCGGTCAGGAATGCGAGTTCGGCCAGCCGGTCGCCCTCGGAGACTGCTCGGTCTCAGCCGGTGGGGTCCGGTTGACCCTACGGGGTAACCGGGCGCTTGGAAAGGGCCTGCCGGTGGGCTCTGAGGGTGTTCTTGAAAGTGAGCCAAGATCAATCAGTTGCGGCTGGCTAGTGGGTTTAAAGGCAGTTAGGGTTACGTCGAGAGCTGTGAATCGCTCTACCTCCACATGGAGGCGCCATGGCCAACTTGTGCGCGTCTCCGCTCGGCCAATCGCGAGTCGCCGTCTGGCCCGACGGTGCCAGCGCTCACCGCTGGGGAGAAACTGCGGGCCGGCGTTTCCACCACGAAAGGCATTATATTTCTTCCTCAGGTTTCAATCGCTCCATGTCTCTCTCAGGCGTTCGGTATCTCAGGCCAACGTAAAACGCTGGCGGACCGCGGCCCCGGGCCTAAGGACTCGGAGGCCCCGCGATGTCCTGCGCGCAGGATAACGGGTGAGTCCGCCCCCCTACTCGCACTCCTACACAACGGATAGAAGCCCGCTTCGTACAGGGCCCGGGCCTCACGCGAGGCGAGGGATTATGTGTGGTGCCTGAACATCACGATCTTTAAAGAGAGATGCACCAGTGAACCTGTTTCCTTGATAGACTGCGCGCAGCCCGCACCTTCACGATTGGCTCCATCTTGGCCGACGCAGCTGGCCTTCTTATTTTCACCTCCCTTTGGCAACCGTCCACGCGGGTGTTGACGGAGGTGAACAGACGGAAGCGCGCGGGAGACGGAAATGTTGACAGAGGCGGTCCGCACACGTCATGGAGAGGTGCCATCTGGGACGCTAAGTTGATGTGACATTCGGCGACTGCTTGATGTGCAGCAGTTGTTGGTGAAAGTCATATTGGTTGTACCTTCTCTACACGACACTTCGTTCTACTTACCCCCACCTTCTATCTATTATTCGGAAATTGTGACGATGATATTTCAATGTCTCAGAGATATAACATTTTCCCAAAACTTTCAACCCGTTTGATGATATCCCTCCAATTATCCATGTTATGGGTTTAGGGAATAGGATTTGATGTTTATTTTCAGCTTCAGAACGACCCTTTTTTACTTTTCTGCAAAAAGAACTGAGTTTGAACTCTTTTTCCTTCATTAGAAGAAAGATAAAAACATCGCACAGGCATCTTCGCTAGTCATTTTCAATCTGACTTCCATCCACATAGCTTTAGTTTCGTGTGTAAGGTCAACATTTTTCATTGACGTTGCTACTTTTTGCAAAAGGGTATTTCTAGGCCGATGATGTTTGCAAGGGCTGTGTGAATTTGGAAGAATCTACGCACATACAGATCGATCACATAGGACTCGATATTTCTTCACCCTCCGTTTCACCAAGACACGAAAATTGGAAGATTCTTCCATACAAAGTTCTTCCCAGTTGTCAACTATACTTTTCACTTCAACTTAGTCCTTATCGATCTTTCAACATCTCACTTCGAATAAACTGAAAATGGCTCAATTTATTTCAGAAAAAGCTCTAAAGCTTTCACAAATGAATTTAAGCCACAAGAGTAAGGACACATGCTCCGTTCACATTGGGCACATGGATCATGCACATCCAACCAACTCTGCAAAAAGATTGATGGCTCCTGTGCTAAGAATAAACCTTTGCAACTGAATAGTTCTCTCCATGCACATAACCAGCCATTACATTTGACACAGATGACCCAGATAGCTCGAACAGGTTAAACATGCTTCAGAGGAGTTAAGACCCTGAGATGCACTTTTCAGGTCTCCGCTCCGAAGGCATGGCATATTGTGCATGATACGCGTGTCTATCAAGACTGATACAGTATCAAACCACCACTACTTCTAATGTACAATGACCTTCACTACGCCTACTTCTGACAAATTACTGACTTCAGTGCTCTAGCCCAACGTACGATCTGAAATGCATTTACAAAACGAGTTGATGGTCAACTCTCCTGAATAGGCAGGTCTTCCTTTCTATCCTGCACAGGAGAAAAAACGGAAAACATTAACAAAGAGAGGGGCTTGAGAGAACATTTCCTTTTAAAAGTTAGTCCCAGCAGTTGCGCAAACTTTGAAATGTATTCTCTTCCCAGTATTCTTCGTTCCATCTATTCCAAGGACACATAATCATCAACATTTCAATCGATGCACGATAATATAACCATTAAAAGGCAGAGGTGGACTCACCTAACACTGCAGATATTGATTAGGTGGCAAGACTAATCGTCCATATCGTCATCCTCCTCCTGTATCGCATGGAAATTCTGGATGGTGAGACGATTTTTTAAAATGTAGACTTAGTTGTTGTACATTTCTAGTGTGAAAGAACAATCCGTCCAGGTAGCACTTTTTACCTCTGACGCCTCCTCATCATCGTCATTGATTTCGGATTGCTTTGACTTATCCGATTCCTCAGGTGTTCCCTCGTCGTCCTCTTCATCGTCCTGATATCAGTTGACAATAAACGGTTAGAGGGTTGTACCAGTTGCGATGTAAAACTGACCTAATTAAATAAGGCCCTTCTCCAGATGGGAGGAACCAAGCGCTCGCGGGGATTACACAACTAAGGATTACAACAGTTTGCTCTTCAGATTGAAGAGCATCAAAACGTCGAATACAATGAGAAGGAGAAGCCAAGGCATTCTCTGTAGAGGTAGCAAGGAGCGTAAAACAGGGTGCTTGATTTGGAACTGGAGTTAGGGATAGAGACAGTTGGTGGGAGGAATGTTACTGGCAGACAGTGTAGTGGGGTAGCATTAGCTGGAGGAACATAAAGCATTAACCAGTACCTGCTTTTGCTTGTTGTATGCTGACATGGACTTATCATACTCCTGCTTCTTCTGTTGGGCCTTGGCAATGTAGGGAGCCTTCTCCTGAAAAGTCCATTTCGAGACAGTTATTTCTACGCACACAAAGAGACCTGAATATTTCAACTAGTCAACTCATGAGAAAAAATGCCAAAAGAGGAGAACTTACGAATTCGGACATGTCTTTCCATTTCTCTCCTCCGGCTTTGCCAACCTGTGCACAGAAAAAAATATGGGAGTGTCACAAGAACTACTTCAAGTGAGGAAAAGATATAACCACTGAGCACGAATAAAGATCTGATATAACTTCATTTTGCTTGGACGAGTATCTGCACGTACCACAGCGACACCCTTGGCCTCGGGATGGTCTTCCTTAAAGGACTTCCTGAACTCATCACTACTCCAGAGAGACCAAAAAAAATGCGAAGTCAGATAAGAAGTAGAATGAGAAAACAGGAGTGTCGCTATTGAGGTACGAGAAGGAACTACCCCTCCGGAATGGTGAGACGCACTCCTTCACAATCTCATCATTTTTGTAAGTTGAGGCTTCCATAGACATTAGATTCACACCGAAAGATAAACATCTGTTATTCTTACAGAAAGATGAAGAAGGCAGTTGGTGGCCTCTTCGGTTGGTTCGGGTCCTTCGCAGCTTTCGTCGCCTTCTTTGACTTCCGTTGCTTCTTTGGCTTGGCGTCTTTGACAACAGCCTTACGCTTCTTTATATCCCTGAAATTTTCTTTCCGCGTTAGATAAATGAGAAAACAGGAGGACTTCAGTGACCACTCTCAAAGCTAGTAAAAGAGACAAAGATCCCATACTCACTTGTCTACAACTTTGCTAGTCTTCTCTTTCACAACCCGCGTGTTCGCCCCTTTCTTCGCCTTCCCCGTATCCTTCATTGTAAAGGCTCAGAGTACGCTGCACATGAAAACTCCAATCAGTGAGAATAGACGAACAAGAATGCATGCGCGACGAGCGAGCACGCAGAGCCGGCGTGGTATCGGGTGCGGACACTCGTTATGCAACTAGTATTCATCAAACTGAGCATCGCTCCACAGACGGAAACTCAGCCCGGAATGGCAGCAAATTCCGAGAGTCTTCAAATACAGGCAAGTCACACCTGAATCGAAAAAAAGGACACATCATGGCTCAAAAAATAAACTTACGCAACTCTGACGGCATAACCGTCGTCTACCATCGGAACAAGACCAAGAAAACTCTCTTAGAGAGAGTTCTGTTGGCCTAAAGCACAACAAACGAGTCCAATTATTAAAAAAAGGATTGGACAGCGCTACGAACTTCAGAAACGTAAACAAGTCGTCAAACTGTCAAAGCAATATGGAGATCATACGCTTCTTGAACAGGCGTACACAAGGTGAAGAGCTCCGACAGCAGAGAGACACGTTTAACGCCTACTGAAAGATTACTCTCGTGGAAAGGTGAGAGGACAGCCGTAACAGACAGCAAAGAAATTAAGAGACTCAAGTATGCTAATCACGGAGGTGGAAGAGAGCAAAGTAGATGGAAAGTTATGAAAAGAGAAAACAGGGGAGGAGGAAGTTGTGCCTAGGCAACCAACCAATAACACAGACCCTACTTGAAACGAGCGTGGAGGAAAACAACCTATTATATAGGAAAACATAGAAGCATCGCACTGCAGGGACGAATAGATCACCTGTCGATTCGAAAAGCAATTGTCGAAGTTAGTTCCCCGCAACCTTCGCCCTCGACGGCGACGGAGGGCTCCACCGCAAGACCTGGAAAAAAATAAACTCCTCAGAAGTGGGAGTCGGCAATCACATCTTTCCCAGAGCGCACAAAAGAAATGAAACTCGAGACCTCTGTAACAGTGCAAAGCAGGCAAATCCGGCGAAAAAATACCAACGAAAAGCAACGACCAACCAGGCGGCGGATAATCACCTATCACGAACCGCAAGGGCGGCGTGACAACGAATCCAAACCGCCGGGACTGAAATCTCACAGAAGCCTTTCGCTCTTCTCTCGGACTCTCCCTCGAACAGAGTACGAGCGAGGCCGTAAGGACTCACTACTCACACTCGGAGCAATGGTCGAAGAGAGAACGAACACACGCGAAGCGAAGAGGGTAAGGCAAGCAAGGACAGACGCGAGGGGAAGCCAAGGCGAAAGAGGGAAGAGCAGTCTGCGACAAGAGAGTGCAGAAGAGTGAGACGACAGGGAAAGAAGGTAGGCTGTGAGAAGGCCTTCGAGGGGCACGGGTGAGGGTTCGGAGGAGCGGCGAGGGTAGACCGGCTGACCGGAAGCACTTCCCGTTGCGAGCGACTGGTAATCCCGGTCACCTTAAAGAAAACTTTACTTTCCTTGCTCTAACTTTCAAACATTCAAATTTAAAGCTCACCGGCAAAACTATTTTCAAACTTTCAAACCCCTTCTTCACTTCTGACGTCTAAAAGCCTCTTTCACCTTCCCGCCCACTTTACTCCCACCTTAACTCCCCATTAACACATTGCTGCATTTTTGGCGGGAAACCGCAGGCCGTCGATTCCCCCATCCCCTCGACGTAAAACCCTACCAAAACCCTGACATTCGCATTTTTACCTTGCTTTTTCTCACCCCGACTTACTCCGATCCATGCAAATCCACGGTACTCGTCTAATCGTCTTCTGTTCTCCGCGTGCCGACTTCCGGCGAACCTGCATCGCCGGCGGCCTGACGCTGGCTGCTGCGATCTAGTCGTTGGGACAAAACGCCGGCACTCCCCGCACGCCGACGGGGAGGAAAATGGCCTTGCAGAAGATCGTGTCCAATATACGCATCGGACGGCTCTCCGTGCAGACGTTCTTTCAACACAGATCGAGTGAGCCCTGCGAGGTGCTCTCCTGGCAGGCTCGGGGTCAGACCGTGCGATCGGCAATCTTACGGCCGCTGTCTCGCGAATTCTGACCCGACCCCAGATCCCAGCCGTCAGTCCCCAACTCGAGCTAACATAACGGCCCGGTCACCCTGTTCTTATCACGAGTTGAAGCAAGGGATCGATGACCGGATAAAGGGTAGTCGACCCAGCGAGAGCTTAGAGCTCTCCAGGGCGGCAATAATGAATTCAAGTACATGAGGGCCGCCACATGGCGGGAAGATATCGTGCGGCACGCCTTTGGACGACGTGATTTCCCAGGCCTCCGCGATTTCGCACCTTTTCGCGATTTCGTGCATTCGCCGCTCGCCCCCGATCCCGCTGCTCTCCTCAGGAAACCTCCGCTGTCCGTGAAGATTCCGAAATGGTCATTCGCGATTTGACATTTCGACGCTCCCGATTTCGCGAATTCGTTTTTTCGCCCTGAGGGGCGAAATGTCCACAACCTCTAACCCTGGCGACTTGATAGCCGGCCCAGAAGACACGATAGCGGGTCAGAGGTAGCGATACAAAACTCATTACTGTCATTCTCGTCTCTTCCACACGATGTTCAGGATTACAGGCAATATCCTCTCATATCACTCCAATAGGAAATGGTCTGTTGCCCTTCCTTTGGCAAAACAAACAAAAGCTCAGAGGCTACAGTTCTTTTTTCCTTTCTTTTCCTCTGAAAGGAAAAAAGATGATGGGGCCAATTGAGCGCACTGAATGATTGACTCAAGCGGACGACATAGAGTCCATTCGTTACTTTGGTTATTCTTTACTCTATGTAAAGTCGTGTGCTTGTGTTGGCATGTCTGATTCTCTGCTCTAACAAAAAGCAGAACTATTCTATTTGGACTTCTTAAACCTTCCTTGAGGTATCAAAGTATATTTGAGATAGCTTCTAAACTTTCCCTTTGATAGTGTTCATGAGATACCTTCTAACGGTTCGAATACTTAATGTCTCTTTGATTGGACTTGGACTCTGACTTAAAAATATTATGTACATATAGCAGGATGATAGATAATGTAGTTACCGTTTGCAAGCATCTAATTTGAGATGAGTGTGATTTGTAAACTTTAGTTATTTACATTGGCCTCTTTCATTCAGGCTACTCATACTTGGTTCTTTGACATTGGTGCCAACAATCACATAACATGACACAATTCTGTTTTTGCCGAGCTCGACACCAGCATTACTTGAACAAAAAAATTTGGGAACAAATTGGTGGTAAATATAAAGAGCTCAATGCGAGTCTAATTTTCTATCAAAAAGATGAACATCTTGCATTTATTGATATTTACTACATATTCCAATTGTGTAGCAACATTGTAAGTATCAATCAGCAAGATAAAAATGATCGTCATTACAAGCAAGATTGAGCATGGCTTTCTTACACTTTGAGATCAGTAGGTACATCTGCTCGTCAAAATACAGTGAGCACAAAATAAACTGTACGTCATCACATTTGACGGTGTTCAACTGGTGTGACTCGTTGCCCGCCTCGTTGATGACACTTGAAGATGGCACCAACGGTACAACACCTAAACTTTGATACTCTTTGGAAATTGGCAAGTCAAGATTAGTAGATCCAACACGTTAATCAATTCTTTGACAGTTGATCCATCCAAAAGCAAAAACGCACTCTGTTTTTCCAAGCAGCAACACAACTTGCACACTTATTTTTGAGTCAAATGCTTATAGACTTGTGTGCATCAATTGCGCTACAGACACAAGTTGTACGACGCTACTTTGTTCTCATCATTGATGATCTAAGACATTTTACGTGGCTTACACTCCTTATCATAAAGAATAAGGCAAAAACTTTGATAAGACGTTTCAAAGTTGAGTTCGAGGTGGAGAGTGCAAAATTTTTGTTTCTCCGCACGAATCGCGATGGAGAGTTTACCGCGACAACATTTGCAACATATCGCAATGTATATGGCATCAAGCGACAGCTCACGATGTCATGTTTATTGTAGCAGAATGATATCGTGGAACAGCAAAATCAGACTGTCGTTGCGACAGCAAGGAGCTTGATGAAGTCAAAGGATGTGCTAGCAAGAATTAGGGATGAGGCGATGAACATCGCGGTCTATCTTCTAAATCGTTTTCCAACAAATAGCATCAACGGTAAAACATCTACGAGGTATGGAACGGCTACAAACTTTATGTTAGTCATTCTTGCGTGTTTAATTGTGTTGCGCCCGTGAATGTGATGAAGCACGCAGTTGGCAAAGCTCTACTATGATACATCATTGATATTTCTTGTCTTCCGACCTAAATCGGTGACTTATTGTGTCTACGATCCCATCCACAACCGTGTTCACATCACGTGTGATGTGATGTTCAACGTAAGCGCGCAGTGGGACTCGATGAAGCAAGGAGATGCAACAAAAGGCGGCAACTCCGTCGTCAACAACGAATTTACAATCAAGCACATCATCTATCTTGCATCAGAAGTCACAGCAAACATTGCTGCGATGCGCACAAGTACTACAAATTGTACACTCCTGCTACCACAGCAAAAATTACGACATTAGTGACACCCATTGTCGCGACACAAGAATCATTCATATCAGTTGCCATAACAATACCAGCTGTGACTACCAAAAATAACGTGGGTCCTAACAACGCATCATCATCACAAGCGCTGCATAAGTTGATCACGCGTGCTTGAACCGACATCGTACGGCTCAATCATTATTCCAAACATTTTGTGATAGACATCAATGAATTCCATTTTGGAAAAATCGACAAACCTTGCAGATTTTTTGCGATTGAAAGCGACAACAATTGGCGTCACGCCATGGATGAAGAGTTGACTTACATCTTCAAAAATTTTACCTAGCAACTCGTTGATCTTCCGCATGTCATAAGCCAATCGGATTAAAGTGCCATTAACCAAATCCTTTCATACGTTGCAGGAACATATCATTATGGATGTCGCTATGTGTGAAGTATTATTGACACTAAGTTTGTTGGATATAGCAATAGCGACATCGACATACTCAATAGCATCACCGATGTGCTATTCTTACTCAACAAAAGCATTGTCAATTTGCAGTCGCAAAAGCAAAAGGTTATCATGTTTTACTCATGTGAAGCAGAGAACATCACGACGACGATGACAACATGCCAAAGCATATGGTTAGTTTGTCTTCTTGCGCATTGTACTCATAGTGAACAACAAGTCTGTAATCTCCATTAGCAAAAATCTTGTACTCTACAACCTCAATAAGCATATAGATACTATGTTTCATTTCATTAGAGAATGAGTTGAACAAGTACATATTGAATTCAAGTTAATTAACACCAATGATCAACTTGCGGACATTTTAACAAAGTCACTTTGTCGTGTTAAATTTAAAAAGCTTTGAGCCAAGATCAACGTCGTTTATATTTAGTGATTGCTCATAATTAAGAGAGTTATTTTTATTTATTTAGAATGTATTTGATAACATAATTTTTTTTATTATCATAAAAAAACTAGTTTTAGTTAAAATTCACGCAAATTAGATTAAATTGCATTTTCATACTATGTAAAAGTTAGTAGTAATATAGTAAATAAAAAATTTAATTATAAAATATAATCTAGCAATGATGAAATTCGTGAGCGAGCACATAGAGTAGATCAAAACTCTAAAGATTCAACATGACTAGCTTTGTTTGTTTTTACTCTCATCACACATATTGACATGACAATTTTCATATGTTGATGTTGCACACAATGGTGAGGATTATCAAACTTCTCTGTTCAAGCAGATCAATCGAACTAACGGATCTATCTTTACCGTTCATCATGTTCTACAACAAGATCTGAACCATCCATTGCGAAGTAATTTAAAACAATACCAAATTGAATACTTTCACACTTGAAATTTTGTGTGAAAAATGTGGACTTATATAGATGCAACCTTACCAAAATGTTCATTCTAATCCATAATGCTCTATCTTAAACATCTAGGTAGTCAAAACATATATTCATTAACTAAAAAATAATATTATTATATCTATTTATTTTGCAATTCATATGAATAAACAAATGATTACTTAATTTCATGTTATATTTACATTTATAAAAATCAGAATAGCGTTGCTTGTTGGAATTATTAACATTCATTGGTTTTATACCTTATAACTAGATAGTTTGTTTAAATTGAATTGAAAATTATATAAATAAAAGAATTTAAATTTTAATAGAATAATTATTCATAAATCTTAGAAATTTTTTAACTATTTATTGCCCTATAACAAACCCTTAATAATTGAATACTAACATCATAAGATGAGAGTTTCAATTTAAAAGCATGTAATGAAATACTAACAAATCAAAAATTTGTGGTTTGAGAAAAAAATCTTTAATATACAGAGTAAAATACTCTACAAAATTTACTTTGTAAATATTTAAGTAAAAATTTGCAATTTTATCAAATAAAAGTTTTGAAATATTGCGGACTTCAAGAGGAAAATACTGCAGATACTTATCTGCAGTAAAATTAATTACTGCAGATGTATTGTAAAATTATGAAGTTTGATTATAGAAACAAAGTATGAAATTTGGAAAGTTATTTGAAATCAATAAAAGAAGATGTTATGTGCAATGTAATTAATTCTAATTATCTTATTATTTAAAAGATTATCAAACATGTTAAAAAATTACACAACTATATGAATAAATTGTTAATTTTTATTTTATAAGGATTGATTAAAAAAAATTGACTAGGATTTTATTATGAAAATCTGATTTTCACTGAAATATTTTCTTAAAGTTTAGGTTTGAATATTTTGAACTTGTGAAAAAATATAAATCGAATATTCAACAAACTTCTTTTAAAAAAAGTTTTTTACATTCAAAAATAATAATAACAAACACATTGCATATTTCTATTGATTTTAAAATTGTTTTCTGGAATTTGACTATGTTTTATAAATAGAATTTATAAGCGTTCAAATATGTTAAATTAATATCATAATTGATCATTAAATTATATTAATATTGACTCCATAAAAAATGAATTAGGACGTTTTAAATAAATAAACAAACACACATACATATATTTCATTGCAATTATCAAGTTAATTATCAATAAAATGCATATTTGAAATGATTTACCTCACTTTCTTCTATGAAATAATTTTTAAAAAATTGATCCCAATTGATAAAAAGTGTCATTATATATTTTAATTTCCCAATAACATTATCTATTAAGTCTCAAAATCTAGAGTGAGACAATCTATCATGCCAAAAGATATCACAACATTGTTTGTAAATAAATTGAAATTATATATAAATGATTCAAACATGTTACACTAAATTTGCTTCATATTTTTCATACATATTGTTTTTATTCAAAAAAAGGTATCATGTTTTATGTTTTGTTATTCCTTCAAAGAGAAATTGACATTCATATATTATATTTCCAATAAAGGTAAAAAATAATGTATGATCTTTAAATTGCCAATGTTGTTTTTATATACTTTATTGGCTATAATTTTTCTTTTGTTTTTTACTTTTATTTAATTGTAGTTTATACAAACAATGACATTTTGAAATGTTATAAGTTGTTCTTGGTGAACTTGGTAAACAACTTATTTAAATCTTTTGCGTGATATTTTTTTTATATATATATTTTTAAATTTCCTATAATATTTTTTGAATTAGCGACTCAGATTCTCAATTACAGCTAAAATTTATTCAAATATGTCTTAAATTATAATACATACAATTAAATTTGTTGAAATAAACAATATATTTATATCGCGTTTAAAAATGTAGTATTGATTTTCATGTTGAAATTGAAATGTAAATATTATATCCAAAAGTACATAAACCAGTTTTACAAACTTTACTATTATTTTTTATGTCGAAGTGTAAATGTAGGTTTTTCTTTCAAAAGTATATCAATAGATTTTCAAATTACAATCTCATACAGAATTCATGACTATAGCTCTTTTGAAATCAATCGTGTTGATTAATTCCTCATATATATATATATATTCCAAAATGATTTCAAACATGTAATCAAATTTGATATATCTATATTTCAAAACTGAGAGATCTCAAATGATTATTAATAATAATATGCAGCTTAGACTAAAACTGGTCCAGCTGTATGATATTTTCAAATGAGACTCTTTTATAATTTAAAATAATTAAAAAGGTTTTTTCTGATGTTTTTGTCAGTACGTTTTTTCAAAGGATAACACCTGTAAAGAAAGTAAGTACAAAATTCATATCTTATGAATCAGATATACAACTAGTGAGAGAATCTTGTATCCAACTTCAATTTTGATATGATATGTTTGGTATGGTTTTTTTAATTTGGACGTAGGAAAAGTTTTTTCTTATTCTCTTGGTTATTATCTTTTTGATTATTCAACAGATTTTTTTTAAATGAATTAAAACTCCATCCACTTTTTTTAAAGTAGGATAAGATAAGTTTTGTATTCTGTATACACACACTATTTAAACATCATGTAAATGTTATATAATTAAAAATATGTCTTTTGTATAAATTTAAATTTTTAAACACAAAAGCATTTTTTCTCAAAAAAATAATTATATTATATCTTATAAATTTTCATTTGTGTAGTAACATAATCATATAATAAATTTGACATATTTAATCTTGATGTATAGATCATATTACAATAGACGATACGAGAATACAAATCACAACACAGTTATCAATGGAAGTATATTTATACGAACATTTGATCAAATAACTCGTTAAAACATATGCGAAATATGACAAGCAATTTCGATGAAAACATTATACGTGTAAGCCTTGAGTCAACCTAAAATTTGGAATAATATTTACACATATTTTGGTGATTGAAGTAGACCATATTCTATGCTTCAACATTCTCAAGCATACGAAATGAAACTTGAAAATCAAGTAATAAACATATGATGAATTTGTATAAGATCTCCACAATGTGCGTAAGCTAAATATGGAAAAAAATATTAGATTATCATTATCCAAGTTGCAGAGAAAAGAACTAATTAAAGAGGCATGGCAAATACAAACAATCAAAGAGTCACATAGTCTAGTCGCACACTTAAACTGGAAAACAATTGCTCAACCATGTGAAATGACATTTAAGCCATAGAGAGCTCATAGGGTAGATTTGATTAGTGATAAAACTCTAGCAACCTCTCTGATATTTTATATATGTATGCTCTTGAAACAGTGTTAAACATAGGGTTGCAAGAGAGCACAATGGGAGTGAGTATGTATAATTACTACATTGTCTAATGATATAGTCCAGCCGTAAAAGTGTGACAATTTGAGCCTGGAGTTGAAAAATGGAATGATTATATATGAACCATGTGATACATGACCACAGTTCGATGAACAAGCTTTAATAAGGTGTCTTGGCAGTAAGATTCATGTCCAATGCTTTCCATTTCTCTAAGCCCCAATGTGAAATTGGTTCATAGTGGCAGCACGGAATACCAAGCTAACTGCGAAGAACCCAAGACATGAAGATTGAACGAGTGCCAAACAGAAGGATTCCAACAACTTATCGCCCGAATCACACAGGTTATTTAAGTTTATTATATATTTGTGTAATGGAGCTTCCGACCTAGGTGTAGATGGTGGATTCCGCTATCGAGGGTTTTAGATATTTGTTTCCTTTGGGTAGCTGAGACTTTTCTAAGTTGCATCTATGGAATCGTGAAGGTGAAGGAGTCAAGCGGCCAGGGACGTCACATCTATTCAACCTTTGTACAAGTCCTACATGGTTCGACTCGGCGCAAGAAAGAAAGACGAAACCTTCCGCTTTAATAAAATATAAAGCTTCACCACATCCGCAGAACTGCGCTCCGAACCGGAATAATACTTGACCACAGGAGCCTGCCTTCATGAGCAGTGGCAAAATCTTGTTCTGTTCGCGCACTTCAGGAAATGGCTACTCAGGACGGGGACGGGAGAAATGGTGCTCAGTCTCATCAAAATACGAAGGATAGCACCGCTTCTGCACGACAACGTTCACACTCAAATGATGATCTCCATTACAGTACTTCGTTCGATGGTTGCAGAGCAGAAGGACCCGCCAGACTCAACCTGGTGAGTTGTACGAGCGAGGTGAGCACGTGGCAGAAGCAGGAGGCCACGTGTCAAGAAAGCGAGGCGCGGGCGACATCTGTCGAAGGATCCTCGGCTTTCACGTTCGCTGCTTGGCTCGACGTGAAATTGCACGCCTTTTGCGGCTTTTCTTTCTGTGTTTGCAAGCGAGCAGTCGAATCCGGATGTCCGAATGGCCGTTCGTTGCATACCGGCGGCAGCGAGGGAGGAAGGGGAAAAGGGGCACCACTGCCACCATGATGGCGAGCAGCAGAAGTAGAAGGACGAGGTCGAGGACGAAGACGAAGACGACGTTCTTGTGAAGGGCGAAATAAAATGGAGGCAACGACTAGGGCACTCCGAGGAAGGCCAATACGCACGGGACGGAATGCATGAATGAATCGATGGACGAGTGGAGCAGGAGGAAGTCGTGCGTGCAGCAACGTGCTCGATCTTTGCCGTCAGATGTGATGCACCTTTGTTGACTTGGGATACTGCCGAGTTGAATGTGCTGAACCGAGGTGAAGTGCGCGACTCAGCGACAGAGAGGCGTCTTGTTTTCTAATTACGCTACGCTACTGCCTGCCTACGCGTTCGGGTCCGGCTACGTTTACTGGGTTTTGACAGTTGTTAGGAGAGGAAGGTTTGAAGTGCTGACTTGGAAGTCTTTGATCCTTCCGCGGTCGTATGTCGGTGAAGCTTGTGACGACAGAGGGCAGGAAGCACAAGGTTCCGGCTCGGCATATTCTGATTGTGTGCATGTCGTTAGCTGTTAATTTGGGGAATCTCCTTGATATTTTTGTCCGGCTTGTCCGCGGAGCATGCATTTCCTCCCATCTATAGCTGTATCCGAATTTTGCTTCGCCATTCGAGTTTGCGGCCGCTTGAACGAAACTTCAATTCATTCCCTCGCGTACTTCCGCAATGCGCACGGTCTCTTGTCCTCATGGTCCTCATATTCTGATATTGCAGAGTTGCGTGCACTGGACGATGGGGTGAGTGGATGTGAGCATATCGAAGTGCCAGTGGTTAAAATTGGCTAAGGTTTCAACACAAGGATGCTGATGCGACCAAATTTATCATATCCGAATGCAACTGCCCGTGGATGGACAAATTTCCAACAAGTGTCATCAAAGCGTCTACAACGGTGAACGCAGCTTTCCATTTTGAATAATTTCATTGAATCTAACTATACCAACAAGAGGAGAACATGTTGAGGCTGATTCCATGTTTGTATTGCTCCCAAATTCGAGATTATTGCCGTACTTCCCGATACCGTATTGAGTTCAAGCAGAACCCTGGCCTGTTAAAATATGTGCGTTCTTACCTGCACAACGTGGAAAACACTCGGATGAAGAAGGTTTGCCTGCAATTAATGTCTATCTGTGATAGAAGTTTAATTTACATGGAAAAAACGTGCAGGAGTACTCGAGTGACCTGACCGGTGGAAACGAGGAAGAAACTCTCTAATTGAGAGTGGATGGGGCGCGGCTGCAAATCAATGGGAGGCAGCCGCTTACTTTTGGTTTTGTATATAATATGGCAGTTTCATTTTTCACCGATTCTAAGTGCGAATTCTGCACAAAGATTACCCGGTTATGGGCTGAAACAGGAAGATCGAGTTGTATCTCGAATTGCATTCGGCTCTTGTGCCAATCAGAGTGCCCCTCAGGTGAGGAGACGAAGGCTTTCATGATGATTGAATAAATTATTTCTTGTTCTCCAGTCAGTCACTAGCCTGGTAAATCTTGTGATTTTGGGTTTGATGTTGTCTCGCTTCAAGTTAATCGTTTCGTAATGGATGGAGGCTTGTATTGAATGAAATATTAGCTACAAGTGACTTGTCCCTCAGGGAAAAGCATACTGTTCTGAAGTTTGATTGGAAGCATACTCACTGACTCTAAACCGTTTGGGAAACACAAATCCCCGATCTTATGCAGCCCATCTGGACGGCAATTTCAAACTTCGACCCCTCGTTGTTCATATGGCTGGGAGATAATATATACGCAGATGCCAAGCTTCCCGTTCGGTTTATTGGGCGGAAACGAACTTCCGGTCCGTTCAAGAACACCCCTCGTTTTTGGCCCGTCTCAGCAGAAGTGATGGAACAAAAGTACATGATTGCCAAAAACAAATCTGGTTATGAAGCCCTTCGCAGGACAGCTCAAGTGAGATTCTCGAATTGAGTTCTTTACAAAATATGAGTCAAATCTACCCTTTGAATGAGTTTATTTGTTTTTCGTGTTAATTAATTTAACGTCGTTAGCTTGGTCTGTTATCACACTGCATCCCAGTGTGTGGTTCTTTGTAAGAGTTGCGTGGATTTTGTGTTGGGTGTTTCCACTTTGTTGCTTAAACACGTGTGAATTGTTGTTGTCAAGCATGTAATTGTTAGATCGGGACTGAAATTTGCAAAGAAGGTTTCCGACACAGACAGTACATAACCTAACAATTGTCGTTTAGAGCAACGACTTCTAAGACGTTAATTGCTGATTGTACTTAAGAATAAAGAACATGAAGAAGAAAGAATTTCACGTTCTTAAAGAAAGAACATGAATTTTTTAACTGAATTCAACATTGGAAATGTTGTAGTGTACCAGCATCTTGCAAAAGAGATGTGTAGCTCACTAACATTTGTAATCTCTGGAATTTATTCCATAGCAAAATCATTTCCTATAATGTGACTTAATTTAATTTAGTTTCATTGAACTTAATTGAGGCTTTTAATTTTACTGTCGGGAAGCTGAAATTTTTGTATTTACAGATAGACGATCATGTGCTAAGATCTATACCCTTCAGTCTTTCATCAATTCATCTTTTTCCTTTTGTGTCACCTTCTGATGGTTGATTGCCCTATTTGTATCCATGTCCACAATATAATGCCATATTTTGTTCGTGAAATAATGTTTCTGATTTAATTCTTGTCCATATTACTTTTGCCTAAAGACGAATGCCTATTGAAAAAATGTCTGTTATCACTGTCATGATTTGGATGTATTCTCATTCCTACGACTAAACATGGTCATGCAGATTATTGGAACATGGGATGACCACGACTATGGATTGAACGACGCTGGGAAGGAGTTGTCAACAAAAGATGTCAGTCAGAAACTTATGCTTGACTTTTTTGATGAGCCTAAGGATAGTCCAAGGTGCATCTCTCCACCTCAACTTTGTATAAATTCCAAGTTTCTCACCCTCTGTTACTTCCAGGTTATTGTCAAGTTGAGAGGCCTGCTTCTTAATAAAGCTTTAGCATTAGAATCTGAATGTCACAGAATTGTTTAGTAATGCAATTATCTGCTGACCGACTTTAGATGTTTTCAAAATTTCTCGCGATAGGTAACGAAAGATCGTAAGAGTCGTAAGATGATGATTCTTAGCTGGTGTAAGAGTTGTTCTCGAAGACGAACGGATCCTGTTTTTGCTATGCAATTCTTGACCCAAGATGAATATCATCTTCATGGAACAACAATCATGAATGGCTTACCCTGTGTAGAACTGCGCAGGCGCAAACAGAAGGGTGTGTATGCATCTTACTTATACGGACCTAAAGGAAAGCGAGTGAAGGTAAACTTTTAAATTTACTCTTACTTGATTAGACAATGCCGAAAAATGTACAAACCAGTAAATTCATGCAATGTCTGTATCGTTTAGTATGTTACCCTGAAACAACTTTGGTTCAAATCACGAGCACGTACATTTTTCACATCGTCTGGAAAAATTCCAGGCATTAAATACTAGAGATGTTAGATAACAACTGCCGAGAAGAGTAGTCATATTGAAGAGTGAATAGTCTTTAGGTTTATGTCCCTGTGACTGTGCTCACAATCATAAATCACAACCTGATAAGATATTCTGAAGCCATTGTCCAATAGGTGATTCTTTTGGATACCAGGTATCATAGAGATCCTCTGGGGAGCAATGGTGCAATGCTAGGGGAGACGCAATGGGCATGGTTTGAGCAGGAGTTGAGAAAAGGAGATTCTCAAATCACTATAATCGCCTCATCCATACAGGTGAGTTGCTTCAGTTTTGCCAATCGATCATTGAATCTTAAACAAGTCAATTCCTCTTATAGATTGCTTCAAAGTTTACTTATATTTTCTGTCTTCAGTCTTGTTTCTAGACCTGAGTATGGTGTCTAGACCTGAAATTTTCTACTGGATTCTTATTGCGTACCTGATGGGAAGAATTAATTAGAATTGTGATTGGTTACAGGTGGTATCAAATGTGTCTGCAGTGGTTCAACCCTTTTTTCACGTTGAGTCGTGGTCCAATTTTCCGGCGGAGCAGGAGCGTTTGTTCAAACTGATCGCTGACAACAATGTTTGTAATGCAGTCCTCCTATCCTTTGATTGTGCTTTTCTTTATCTTCGAACTTAAGTCTGAATGGTAAACTTCATACAAATCACATCATTTTGAGCGTCTACTTTTTTTCCAATTAATCATTGATGAATAATGAATTACAGAATCTGCTAACAAGTTAGCTTGTCAAGGTTACGTATCTTGTTACTTGAGTACCACATTGAGATGTTGTCATGAATTTCACATCGAGGTTCTGGTCAAAAAGGTAACCTTTTGTATACCTTCATCCTCTGCATTCCTTCTGTATTGACGTTGAAAATTTCCTTCGGTGTGTTTACAGGTTAGTGGAGTAATATTTCTTAGCGGAGATGTTCATTTTTGTGAAATAAGCCGTTTCGATTGTGGACCAGTGGGATATCCCATTTACGATTTGACATCAAGTGGACTTACACAAGCCGTGGAGGAACTGACAAATCCATTAGTGGCGTTTGTTATAAGATTTGCGGCATGGTTTGTGCCCAATACTATGCGCGTTTACAATTCACAATGCAGATACAAGTCATGTGTCTACGGTATGAAACATGGCAATCCTACATCCGTTTGTTCAGAGTATTCTGCTTCCTAATCAATGCAAATAGAAAGTGAGTTGAGACGCGCACTTAGAGTGGTTTTCACACGTTATGTTGTTTTGTGCGGATTACTTGTCACTAATGTAATCATTGCACATGTTCGAAGCGCTGTTTCAGGAAAACGGAATTTTGGAAGTATAGAGATCGATTGGGATGCCGATCCGGTAATGATAAAAATGAGTGTAAGAGATATCTTTGGAACAACAGTGTCAGGAACAGAAGTGCCCTTGTCGATTTTACAGCCTGGAGCACTCAACACACAACCTTTACAACGAGGTGAAGTAAGGAGGCATTGCACGCTGGATGTGGATCTACCGTGGACTCGGAAATATCTGCTGGCTTACGCTTTTTTCGGGACATCCTTTGGTAATACTGTTTGCCTTGTGATGATTTGCAGAAGCAGTGTAAAGAAAAGCTCAAAGTTTTCTGATTGAATGTTGAAGTTGAATCTGAAATGTTTTAGCATGGGTAATCTTGCTTATTTGTTTTCAGAGTCTGCTGAGAGCTTTTTCAGCTGATAGTTAATTAGTGATTGAATTGTTTAAGTTTTGTTAATCTTGCTTATTTGTTTTGAAAGTTTTCTGAGAGCTTTTCAGCTGATTGTAAATTTGTGATTGCAGTGTTGACAATGTCACCCTTTCTCTTGGGTTACATGACCTTTAAATTGCTCAGAGCCCGAAGACGCCGTGAGCCAAACCAAAAGCCGGACTGATCATCTGGTGTTGTATAAGGTCGTTGACGAGGACTAAAACCATCCCATGTTTTACTTGGTTTTGGAAGGCTGCGATGTAATGTCCTCGGTCTTTCCAAGAACTGTACAGGAATTGATATCAAGTTTGTAAAATTCTCAGCTTGTAAGCTACTATTGGTTTAATTTTCACCTCATCTCACAAATGAGACATGGAAGTGCTTCACTGCTGTAAGATTTAGATCACTTCATGATATGGTGTATTCGTTTTCTATCGTTTCTTCGGTTGTCAATAGTCGTCGGTTGGGATCTTTCGCAAGATGGTAGACCAGTGAAGTGTTGCTTGTGGTTTTTGAAATACCTAGGAGTTTGAACTCACAGTTTAGTGAAACGGTACAGGATTTTTCCCCTACCGGCAGGACAAGTCCTCTTGGCTCCGCATCGCTTCACAGTTGCTCTTACTCAATTCCTAATAATGTAGACAAGAACCAGGGGAAATTTTTGCCGTTGCACCAATGAAAGTTTCACCGAGTTAAATGTACTCTAATGCAAGCACCCTATCAACAGAATTCACCGTAGCATTACTTCTTGTGAAGGCTTTCACTAAGTTATGTGCCACTGTGGACTAAGATTACTGCTGTGAAGCGTCGAATTACTGAAGCTTCCTCCATCTGAAATTGATATTAGCGGCTGTTGACATACTGGGCTGCTCATTAAATACATAAAGAAGAAAGTAGTCTCTATAATAATATAAAAAGGAATTTGGAAAAGTACAAAAGTCCGTCTTAAAGTTTGTTATCATCCTTTAGGCGGTTATTAAAATCGATTGTTCAACGAATGGTAAACTTTCAAAATTTGAACAACTCAATCCCCACCTTTCGTTTAAATTACGTAACTTATTATTAGTACTTGATGGTAGACTAGAAGGGAACTTTAATCTACATTCAAATGTACTGAAGGAAAGATACGGGAATACGTGTCATTAAAAAGTTGATGTTTCGCTTCTTCTAATCAAATAATGGTTCGACAACGTGTTACGTAAAACGACATATTATGCTGTGTAATATAGCGGATGGAAAAATCTAGTTGCATGATTTAACCGGATATAACGTAATGTTTCCAAAGTGTGTGCGTGAAACAAATACAACCTTTGCCCCTTATTTAAGTAGCTGTCACAGTACGTTCAATAAGTCACAATATCCAATGAAATTACTTGCAAGAAACTTGGTTCTTAACCATATCAGATTACACAAGATGGAATTATTATCTAAATATAAAAAGAAAACAACACTCACGGTTAAGTAATATCATGTTTATGATAAGAATGGTTATGAAAAGTTAGAATGTAAATGTGTTGAAAAATTGTATAAAAGACATAATAAATAAAAAATAAATTTTATTTTTGAGGGAAAAAATTATAACTGTAAATAATCACTTAAATTCTAAAATTTGAATTTAACCTCATAGTGCAAAAGTATTGTACTATGTTCTCAATTTTAAAAAAAGAGTAATTCAAATATATATATATATATATATATTCATTACTGGATAGATTGAAATATGATACTCAAAACATAAAAAAAACTACACTAAAAAGATAAAAAGTTTGGAAGAAAGATATGTATGTAGTGTAATGGAATTGATCTTTGAGTCTTTTTCCTTGTAATGTGTTTTTCAGCCTTTTGATCTTTGATACCTTGGGCTTGGTCTAATACCATTTACCATTAATCCTTTAGTATGATTGAATATAACCAGACATGGTTATTTTAGAGCGATTATATATCGAGTCGCCTAAATTGACGCTCCCTCTAGAACCTAAACTAACTGAAGCATGCAGATTGTAACTGGCTCAGTATTGGAGGCTGGGAGATCTCGGTCATTGAGAATGTTAATCAATTTGTTAGCAAGTTAGTCTCATAGCTCACTTGGTTCGTAATCTGAAGTTTAAAAATTAATCTTTCTCTAAAAATTAATCTCTTAACAAATCCATTTCAAGCTCCGATTAATGGTGATTCTCTCTCCCTCTATCTCCGAACACTTCACTCGCTCTCAAGTGCACTCAAGTTGGTATTTAGCACAAAAGTTCATAAATTAACTTTCTTGATGTGACTAAATTAAGCTAATTTAGGTGACTTATTAATATAACTCATTCTACATATATACATATCATCATATAGTGAAAATGCTTCACCCCAAAATTTCTCTACGTCAAAATATTGAAAAGATATATTTCAATGTACAGAATTACAAATTTATTTAGTATTCAATACAATGATCTCTATAAAAATATGCAAGTTTCAATAAGATCAACATTCAAATCTATTGATAACAAAAATACACTCTGGTTTCAAAAGATAAATTGCCAACAACCAAGTAAACATTGTTATATCATATGTAATATACATTTTCATCTCAATGACAATTGATTGAAAGTCAATACCTATTAATACTAACAAGAATTGAACAACATACATATTCTCCACAACTGTTGATTTTTGTATCATATGTAATATGCATGTTCATTTTAATGATAATTGATTGAAAGTCAATACCTATTAAAATTTACAAGTATTGAAAAATGTATCCACGCTATGTTTTTTTAAATTTTTGTTACTCACTGTCATAATATCACAAAATACGAAGTATAGGTTAAAATTTAGAATCCAATAAAAACTGAAAATATAAATTCAAGGAAATCAAAGTTGAAAAATTTCATCATAGTTAATTTTAATTGAACATGTATATGAAATTTTAAATATCATTTTGAAAATAAAAAAATTCAATTACAATTGAGTTTGATAAATCTGAAATTGAATAAAATTGCATGATGTGTACATATTTTTAAATTGGAAAAAATGGATTTATTAATTAAGATATAATTTTTTTTCACTATATATATAAATTGATCAATTTTTTTTAAATTTTTTTTTAATTGAACATTATTATTTTGTGAGATTATAACATGTCCAATTTTATATTTCATTTTCTAATGAAAATTTTCATTGTGATAATCAAATTGCGTTCCACCAATATGGAACGCAATTCAATTATCACAATGAATGAACATAATGATGAAACAATAACAATGAAAAAAATCACTATTTTAAATCAGATCTGCAATTTATAATAAAAGTTTGAACTAGTGAAAATTGACAATTAATTTAATCTAGCTGGTATGTTTAAAAAAATTATTACTTTGAAGAATTTAGAAGACATTATGCTAGTATGCAAATTTTGTTGAGTTTAAGTCATGTTAGGGAGTAACCTTAGGTTCTAGCCTTTTTTAGCTAGATTGGTTACCTTTGTTGGATATATATACCCAGAGTCTGCGTATTACTAGACAAAACATCTAGTACACTCACGCACACTATTTTTGTGGATGTAGCCCTTTGTGATGAAACACGTTACATCTTTGTGTCGCCTATTTACTGTCGCTTATTGTGTGTTTATGATTATCAGATAACGCTAACAAATGATATCAGAGCTGACAGTTTTTTGACGCGACAGAAATTTGAAACAATGCTGAAAGTTTTTTGAAATTGACGTAAACTGGAGATGAACAGATTTTCAATCACTTAGAGTTGCTATAAGGTTTGTTCTAGAAATTCTTCTCTTCCGAAAATGGTACGTTTGAACTACACATCAGAGTCTTAGGTAGTATATACCCAAACTTCTGAAGCTCAATTTTTGTTTCAAGTATGGTTTTTGAACGTTGCCATATCTTCTTAGTAAACTCTTCAAACTAGAAGTAGTGTCTAGAAATTGTTGGTATTGTGTTTGATAGCTCATTGCTAGACAATTTAAATCTTCTGCAGCTTCATGCTCTAGAATATCATAATGGTGATTCCAACCTGTTTCCCATTGCTCCAAGCTTATCTTTGATTCTTGCAACTTCTTTTCTATTTTGAATTTTTGCTGTTGAAGCTGAGTCAGTGCATCAGAAAAAGTAAAAACTCAACTTCAGTCTGTTTGTTTCGAAGTTACTGAAAACTTTTCTTCTTAGTAGTAGCCCACAAATCCATAGTTATAATCCTTATTGATTCGTACTCAAAATCCTTGTCTGAAGCCTTGAGCAAACGATCAATACCAAATTGATCATGAAATGCTTTTCGCTGAAGCACAGACGTGTCTATGATTCTGTCGATCTTTGTCCTAGTGAGTTTCAGAAATTGGCACTGGCTATAGTAGCAATATTGAATTGTAGAGCTAGTATTCAATATTGAAGATGATTATATTTAATAACTGATAAATAGAAATATGCACTTACAAGATTCAACACTTGAAGAGTTAAATGGAGAGTACCAATGTTGTTGAATTCACTTGATAAACTAGTATTTGAAGCTACTCAATCATGGAAGCACAAAGTTGCCATGTAGATTCTTGCCGGATCAGATACGCAATATGACATCTGAATTTAGAACCTCAAGTGATGTGATTGCCAAGGCCTCGATGTGGTTGAGCACAGCTACGTGAAACATTGGGCGTGTGATTCAATACGTTGTTCTTGTTTATTATACTTTTCTATCTGAGATATCTTCTAGTACATTGTAACAATTCACCGTCGCACTCAATCGCATGTCGACTAGTAGTCGAGTCGAGGTTCAAAAGTTGATGTTTGTAATTATTTTACTTTTTCGGTATTTACTTTCGTTTTGCATGTAGCACAATGAGCAACCACTGAGAGAAGACCACAACAAAAGCTTAATTTACTAATGCTTTTTTTCTCTACTTGACTCACAAATCTCTCACATGTTCTCATTCACTGTACCTCTGATTGGTGTAACACTAGGGTTTAGAGAGAAGTTCACTCGAAGATAGAAACGTAAACTCTGAAGATGAGAGATACCAACAATGGTTCTCCTCTCCCTTATATAGCTCTCACCAACAAGTACAAGGTGATAAGATCTAATCCCCACCATCCATACCACTCCTAGTGGATGGATGACGTGGCGGATAACCCTAACAAGCACACGGATCGCTGACGTGGCGCACCCAACTAACACACTAACTAACACACTCAATCCTTAGCTACAAGCACACGGATTGCTGACGTGGCACTGTCAACTAACACATCCACTCTGTACCTACCAAGTGCGCGGATCGCTGACGTGGCAGCTATGACTAGTGCACACTAAAGTATCTACCTCAATATTCAGAGTAACCTCTACTTTAGTTCTAACTAACTAAAGATGGTTACAAACCTCCCTCCTTTTAAGATGCAACGTCCTCGTTGCACATACGTTCAAACTCCTGAACTATCAAAGGTGCATTTGCTAAATTTTTAGCTGGTTCCCAAGTTGATTCATACGATGGATAGCCTTTCCATTGAATCAAATACTCTACTTTGGGATATTTATGACCTCGAATACGTTTCTTGAGTATCTTTTCTACCTCAAACTCCTCATGATCTGCTATCAAGGTTGGAAGAGGAGGTGGTGCTGGTTGGTTGGTGAATTGTTTTGGTCGTGGTACATGTTTTCGCAATCGTGACACATGAAATACTGGATGTATTTTCATATGTGACGGAAGTTCCAACTTGTATGACACTTCACCAACACGCTTCAAAACCAAAAATGGACCAATGAACCTAGGGTTTAACTTTGGTGTTCCTACAAGAGACAAATTTGTTGTAGATAACCAAACATGATCTCCAACCTCAAAAATC